TTTTAGACATGAATATCAGAGAAAAGACGAACTTCAGGATAACAAACGCTTTTGTATTACTTTGGAAAKCTTTGGAAATCAAACTTTGGAAATCTAATAATCATCGCTCAAGCKGTGATTATCGTCTCATAATCACTGGTCGCTCGACCAATCACATYGYGCGAAACTCTAYATTCAAGTCTAAAACTAAAACTAATTATAGTCACTYACACTGTCAGTGTCTGGATCTCCTGTAGCAATGACGTTACCATCTTCATCAACCAGACTAGTTTTCTCCATCAGTGTTTTCTCTACACGTTGTTGTCGAGTTGTTGTAGTGTGAGTCTGTAGAATGTAGGACAATACTCGTCAAAAGGGTTCTTAATTACACCTCTTTACCTTGGGCGACAAGTTTTCGCTTTTCAGAGCATGGTATGTATCCCTTCTCAGACTTCCCATGAGAATAAGATGAAAAAAAACCCCCCGAAGTGGCCGACATTTTGGTAGCCTCCTTTGCAACCGTTCTTAGGGTCGTCACGCAACGTTTGTGGGGAGGGAAACGATGCGTGACGACCCTAAGAACGGCTGCAAAGGAGGCTACCATTTTGGTTGACATGACAAAAAACACCAAGACARAATCTTTAGTGAAAGTCAACCAACAATGCGGCTATGTAGTCACATACACCCCAAGAATAAGAAAAAACATACCGTTGTGACGACTTCAGTATCAAAACTTGCGCCTTGTTGGGCCATGATCTCCTTGAGCTCCTCAGCAGTAAGRGGGCCTCCATCACCTTCAATAGTGATAGTCTTGGTGATAATTTCTGTTGGCATAGTGGTATGTCTTATCACCTGCGACTGGACGGGAGGAGTCTGGCCATTACCATCGATGGTTATTGTACGAGTGACGACAACACCGCCTTCTTGATCTACACGAGAGARTAAGAGGAAAAGCGCTCACATTAAGTGTTGATGGGGTGTCTGAACCAACAGTGGAACAACCAGTGCAACTGGCTATAATTTGAGGTTCCCGGATCTTTGGCCTTTAGGAGAATCGAATTTTTACTGGTCTGAGTGAGAAGCCAAAAATCCGGAAATCTAGGACTGCATTGGCTGCGTTACTGTATGAAAATGGCCTATTACACAAAAAGCAGATATTATGGATGCATGCAAATGAGACAACAAGCAATGCATCGACCCAATAGCCTTTTTTGTATATGATTCTTAAACGAAAGAAATTCTCGTACGGGCTCAACTGTAATAACAGCTCTTTTCATACTGAGTCACGCGGTCAATAGACCTCTTCGGCTTGGGGTAATGTTTTCCCATTTCAGACCACATGTCATTCCCTTGTGAATAAGATTCTTTGTTTGAGCTTTATACATATTCATGTGTCTTCTCAAGTGCAACGGTTCATTCTAGGGAATGACATGTGGTCTGAAATGGGAGAACATTATGTCAGAGCCGAATAGGTCTATTGAAGTCCTTTTTAGGTAAGCATTAGGAGATGATAGCGCATGATTTGTAGGCACACATATAAGGTGTAGTAAAGATAACGTGACCTTACCTGGTGTGACAGTTCCAACAGGCTGTGCAGACCGATCACACAACACCCTCTTGGTTGTCACGCTAGGTATGTCACTAACTACGACCCTGGAAGAGTCGCTAATACCTGGTGCGCTTGATGGAGCTTCTTGTACGTTTTTCGTCTCCGTGACATTGACATTCTCATACACAGGCTGCTTGACGGGACCTCCTACACTATTGACAGTGTAGGACTGGGTCTTGACCTCTGGTGGGACTCGCTTCTGGTAAACAGGTGGTTCCCTGGAAGGTGTAATAGTAACTTTCTGGGTCTTGATCGCTGAAGGAGTATCGTCCAGATCTTTWCCGTACGAGTGTCGTTTGATGTTTTCAGCCACCTGATCACTCTCACGTTGTTTTTGAGAGAATCTAGTTGGCTCCGCTTGRGGTTCTGGGGTTGCTTCCACATTTGAACCAGCTGGTGAGTAGCATCTAATGAGTTCCTCCTTGGTGATGAGCTGAACACCTTTGCGCTTTCCTCTGTCGAGACTATCACCAGCGCTTTTCCTTCGTTCCTCATCATCATCATCGTCGCCTATGCTTTGAATTGGTTTTCCGCGTGGTGGGAGGGTTGAGTGACCATGTGAGTAAGGTTTTGGTGCGGTTGCTGGTGCTGGCTTGTGCTGAAATCATAACAGGATCATTTGAAATTAAAATTGTTAAACGTACATGCATTGCCTTACAGCAYGTACTCATAACATTGAAATGGTTTTCCATTRTCTTCTAGTAATYTATCRAATCCCAATGCGCAATTACAGTTACTGTAAGATAGATTTTAATTGAGTGACTCTCAAGTAGCAACTAAACTATATGCATCAGAAGGCTTCAATCAATCACCAGTGCCATTGGGCATTTTTATTTTCAATTTTAGCCAAAGGAATGTGGAAAATCGCTCTCAAACTGTTGCCAGCAWTTTCACTGTTTCCAATAATCTATCAAGAAAATTCAGTTATTTTAAAAAAGGATGGTGTAGGTTTTGATGCAAGCTACATATCAAGCTTGAAATACATTATGGGTGATGTGAATCCAATCAATAAAAGATCACATCTATAGGGAATTTTCTCATACTTTCTCTGCCTTTTTCCCAAGCATATTTTCTTCTGTTCTGACATTGTTTATATAGAGGATATTATAATACATTTCAAGCTTGGTATGCAGCATGCAACATACCACATGCAACAT